AATTCCTGTCTTCCCTTTTTCCCTGAGAAGGGAAGAGGCCAGTTGGGATTCTTAGGGCTAAAAGATGCTTTGGGTCAAGGATTAAGGTGGCCACTTTCAGGCCAGGGGTGCCCTGGGGCCTCAGTCCTTATATGCCGCCATACACCCCCAGGCAGCCCAGGGCCGATCCTGCCCGGGAAGGAGTGTTTGCTGGGTGCAGAAGTTGCTGTTTACAAGTGGACTCTTGGGTGTGACAGGGATTCCAGAAAGCAGCTGGAGAATGGGGGGAGCAGAGGGGGAAACCGTTGGTGTTACGGATGATTCTCTTATTAACGCGAGCTTCTCCATCTCGGCCTTCCTGCAGCTGCCCAGCCCTCCCCCTTCTCCCGGTCCCTGGCTTCTCTCCCTAGAGGACTCTGGGGGAACAGCTGGTGAGTGAGGGGCTCATCAGGGCCCCAAGGCCTTGGCGAAGGGCCCAGCTTAGGGAGCATGGGGCTTGCTGCCACCTCAGGCCCCTTCCTCCCAGGCCTGGACTTGCGTTCTGCCAGGGCACAGGGGAGGGAATGGGAGCTGCAGACCCGACTCCTTTGCTCTGGCTGCCTGAAAGGCCAGGAGAGAGCTCTTCTGAAGCCCTGGAAGCCCCTGTCCCTTCCTGGCTTTAAAGGGCCAGTGGGTACTAGGGCCATGACTGACTCGGCTGAAGAGATAGTGGTCATGCAGATGCACTCTGCGATTGGGCTGAACCAGCCACGTCCCAGGCCAGGAACTTCCCCCGCCCCCACGCCCAAGCAGCTGTTCCCCCTTTTCTGTCCCCGGCTGCTTGAAAACTGTGCTCTCCCCCCAAGGACTGGCCAGAGAGTCTTTGCTCTTCCTCTCTTCTCTCCCTCCTCTCAGCACTGAGGTCACCGTCCTCTGAATCAGGCCTTTGTCGGAGGCGGGGCTGCCTGTTGGTTGGCAGTTGTGGCGGGAGAAGCCCACAGTTCAAGTTAGGGCTTCCACACCCTGCAGCTTCATCCCTACGCAGCCCTGGCTGACCTCGACCCAACATCCGACATCCAGGATGTATTTATGGTAGGACTACCAGAGGAATGTTTGAAACCAGGGCCATCCTGAAAACCCCAGGCTGGGGCTTTTCCCGGGAGCCCATCAGGCCGAACACGGAAGCTGTGAGTAGTTGTGGGCCTGCGGGAAGGAGGTGAGTGCTCGGCCCCTGGGGCAAGGGGCCCCCAGTGACACCCAGTAGGGACCCCACTGGGGAACTGACCTGGGTTGATTTTTTTTCTCATGAGACTTAAGCCAAAACCCCAGACTCTGAAGGGCCTAATTAGGCTGATTGGGATCGGGAGGTGGTAGTATCTCTCTGGATCTTAACATTCCCCAGAGGATTGCAAAGATGCAGGAAGTTTTCCTAACACCATAGAAATCGTGAACTCAAAATCTGGTCTGACTCATAGCATGTGCCCCTCCCTACCACCAAGGTCAAATGCAGGCCTCTAGCCTGTGACTCTTAACCCTGGCCAAAAGCTTCCTGCCCTGTCCTCGTGGCCCTGCAGACACAGAGAAGGCCCCTTTTCCTGAGCTGGCCAGACCTCCTCGGCCGAGGGCAGCAAATATCTCCCCCAAAGTGAGGCTGAGTCATAGCCTGCCTGCAGCCACCATTTCCGGAGTCTCTCCTAGTCCCAGCCAGGGATACAGAGACACACATGGCAGAGCTGTTGCTCTTGGGTGGCTTATCACTGGGAGGGTACCCCCAGATCACAGTGGGACTCAGGCCTCCCTGCTCTGAGACCCGCAGGCACTCAGATTGGAGGGTGGCATGGTTGGCTCTGTGGGGTATGCATCACCCACAGCCAGTCCTCACATTCAGGACCTCGAGTCTAACCTGGATGCTTTTATTTGTTTGTTTGTTTGTTTATTGGCTGCGTACATGGGGTACCTTATTCTCCGAGTGAAAATGCTAAGGTGGGTTGGGCTTGGGCCGATGTTCCCACAAGTACAGAACTGAATCGAGTGGGTCCTGAGAAGTTTGACTTGTCTTGATGTGGAGGAAGGAGATGAACGTTACAACCGGCATGTGTACAGGGCTGTGCTGGTTCAGTCTGGAACGCGGGGAGATAAGGCAGCTCTCTAGGTGACCATTTCCTGTCGGGGATGCCTGCGGGCTTACTCCAGCCGCCGTCCTTTTCACCAGCTCCACCTGTTCTGCGTCCATGGGGTGCTCAATGCTGCAGCTCCCTCATCTTCACCCTTGCTCTCTAATGGTGGGTCCGGCAAATGAAGCCCCAAGTCCTGGATCTAATCCTGGATATCCACAGCTGCATCTCCATCCCCCACTGGTGCCATCTCCACCTCCTCTCATCTGGATCTTGGTTCAGGAAGTAGGAGCTGATAGGCGTAGCCAGCTAGGCCTGTACCTCCTGCTCTTCCCCAGGCTCCTCACCGCTCCAATCCTGTAGGACCCCGGCATGGCTCTAGTTCCTCCATCTGATTGGGGAAAGTACGCTCAGGGCCTCTGGTGTCTCCCCCTAATATTGCTGCTGCTCATAGCAGGGGCTGCTCAGAGCTTGAGGCCAAACCCTATTTTTATTTTTTTAGGAAAACATATTCTCCTAAACCACCTTCACCCTTACTTTGGTTTTTGTTGTGTGGCACACAAGACTTGGGCTTTCCGCAGTTTTAGCTTTATTTTTATTTTTTAATTGACTTCTGAGAGGAAGGGAGAGGGAGAGAGATATAGAAACATCAATGATGAGAGAGAATCATTGATCGGCTGCCTCCTGCACACCCACTACTGAGGATCGAGCCCACAACCCAGGCATGTGCCTTTTACCGGAATCGAACCCAGGACCCTTCAGTCCGAAGGCCGGCTCTCTATGCACTGAGCCAAACCAGCTAGGCCATTAGCTTTATTCTTTCTTGGCCCCTGGACATTGCCTTTTCATCCCACTCCTGTCCTTCATCCTCCCAACTTTTTTCCTCACACTCCCCAGCACTTCTGCACCCACCCCAACCCACTGGGGAAATAAATGGGGAGGGGATTGAGGGAAAGCTAGTGATCCATGGGGGCAGGCCGCTCCTAGAGCAGGGGACCCTCCGTCTGGAGCCAGTGGGCGTTGGCCCAGAGGTGAGTGGTGGGTGGGGTGGAATTGGCCCAGTGGTGGAGGTAACCCAAGGCCCTTTTTTGGTTTTAACCCCTATTTGTGCATGTGGGAAAGAGGATATTTCTTGAAACATTTTTTTGTTTTTTTTTGTTTTATTTCCAGGCCTGTCCATTTCTAAACATATCAAACATGATAATGTCATAGCAAATGAAGTTATACTAGGTACATTTTTTTTACTGTATTTTTATTAATTTCAGAGAGGGAGAGAGAGATAGAAACATCAATGATAAGAATCATTGATCAGCTGCTTTCTGCATACCCCCCACTAGGGACCAAGCCCATAATCCGGGCATGTGCCCTGTCCAGGCATTAAACCGTGACCTCCTGGATTGTAGGTCGATGCTCAACCACTGAGCCATGCCACCAGGCAACTAGGTACATTTTTATGATGTTAAAATAACAAAGGACTGCCCTGGCCAGTGTGGCTCAGTTGGTTGAGTATCCACCTGTGCACCAAAGGGTTGCTGGCCTAGGTTACGGGTTCAGTCAACGGTCAGGGTGCATGCAGGAGGCAACCAATCAATATTTCTCTCTCACATCGATGTTTATCTCTCTCTCCCTTCCTCTCTCTCTAAAATCAATAAAAACATTTAAAAATAATAACAACAAAGGACTTTAGATTGTGGTAGTGCTAAAAGTAAATATTACACCGTTTTTCCTTTTCTTCTAGTTTTCAATTTATCCCATTGTCATATACACACTCTCACTCAGGAAGAAGTGCTCTCCTGTTTGCTGGTTCCCTCTTCCTGGGGTGCCAGGCAGAGAAGAGTGCAGGCTGCCTGGCTCTGGGGGGAGAGGGTTGGAGAGGGGGAGCTCCTTGAAGGCAGGGCAGTTGGGCAGCACTCTCAGATCTCCAGGTGCCCGTCAGTGGGCACCCCCGGCTGAGGTGACTCGGGGTCTGCTTACCTGTGAATAGACCAGAAGTCGGGGGATGTAACAGCAGGCTCTTTGCAGGACTTTGCACTGTGCCTGCGTCAGGATGTGATGATATGAAAAGCTTCCATTTACCGAGTTCACGCAGAACACTACGTACATGATCTCATTTCATCTTCCAGCAACCCTTTCTGCATAGTATTCTCATCCCCGTTACATAGGTGAGGAGCCAGATCATGCAGAGTCAAAATTCTAACCCAGGTCTGTTTACCTGCATTGTCCCGGGAGCCCTGGGACTGCAGAGCTTCCTGAATATAAGGAGCTTACAGTACAACTTGTGTACAGAGAGGCCCCCTGGGGGTGGCGAAGTCCAGGCCTGTCCAGTGCGCTTTGCGAACCAGCCATGTGACTTGGGCTGCATCTTTTGCCTCTGGAGCCTGCTTCCTCCCCAGGCTGGCGCTCCCCTTACAAGTTTGGTAGGAGAATCAAGTGGAATGATGCATGAGAAAGTGGCAACACACAGGATACATTCAGTGTATGCAAGTGTAACTTCCTATTCCTTGGTTCCCTCATCTCAAATATAGGTGCTGATAATAGCTTTTAAGTCCTTTGAGGTGGTGATGAGGATGAAAGAAAGCACCGTGTGTGACTGTTCATTTCCACCTGGTGTCTGAGTGATTGCTGACTGAGAGCTGGGACCTCTGCACTGGCACTTCCTCTACCCAGAATGCTTTTTCCATCCCAGGATTTGATCTGGACTTCAGTCGGTCTCTGCTTAACTGTCGCCCCTCAGTGTCTTACCAGGACCCAGCATATGTTCCTTGGTTTATCGTGTATGATCCACCTCCCCCAATAAAACGGAAGCTTCATAAAGGCAGGGCTTTCGCTGGCTTGTTCTTCCCTGTGGCCCAGTGCCTGGCACACAGCAGAAGCCAAATAAATGCTTGTGGAAGGCATGGCTGACATGCTCTCCCTGTTTCTCCACAGGCAAGGTGACCATTCTGGCTGTCAGAGTGAGTGTGCCAGCCTGGCCGAGGGAGCAGAGACAGGTGAGGGCTCTGTGGCCTGTGCGGCTGTTGATGGGGACGGGAGGGGGAAGGCTGGGGGGGGCAGGGCCCTGTGCCCCACCGTGGAGGACGGAGGAGAGAGCGTTCAGATGCCTGGTGGTCCTCTCTTCCAAAAGTGCTAAGCTCCTTTGTGGGGGCTTCAGTGGGGCCGGGAGGCAAGTAGTCAGTTGTAAACCGGAGCCTCCACCCTTTGGCATGAGGAAGGGTTTCCCATCTACTGGAAATTTCCACAATATTTGTGTAGAAGAAGGAAATGAGCACTTTCCTCTGGCAGAGAAATTGAAACTCAAATGGAAGATGAAGCCTAGTCAGTACCGGCAGTAACCATGGCAACAGTGTGGCGGGGTGGGGCATCACACGCACAGTTCAGGTTAGAAGCCTGGCTGGCTGTGTTCATGCAGTGACAGGCTGGTCTCTTTACAGAGAGGAAGGGAGAGGGATAGAGAGTTAGAAACATCGATGAGAGAGAAACATCGATTCAGCTGCTTCCTGCACACTCCCTACTGGGTATGTGCCCGCAACCAAGGTACATGCCCTTGACCGGAATCGAACCTGGGACTCTTGTGTCCGCAGGCCGATGCTCTAACCACTGAGCCAAACCGGTTAGGGCGAGGCTGGTCTCTTTTTTTTAAATATATTTTATTGATTTTTTTACAGAGAGAAAGGGAAAGGGAGAGAGAGTTAGAAACATTGATGAGAGAGAAACATCAATCAGCTGCCTCCTGCACACTCCCCACTGGGGATGTGCCCGAAACCAAGGTACATGCCCTTGACCGGAATCGAACCTGGGACCCTTCAGTCCACAGACCGACGCTCTATCCACTGAGCCAAACTGGCCAGGGCGAGGCTGGTCTCTTTAGTTGGTGCTCAGTCTGTCTCTTGCACACCAGGAAGTGTAAGCCTGGGCAGTGACATGAACATGCCCTCATGGAATCAAGAGTCCGGGGGAGACGGTTACAGACCTGAGTGGACTTGGATTGGAATAATCCAAGGAATGATAGGAAGGAGCTGGCCAATTGGAAAGGCGGGTAAAGGGCCGAGCCCCTGCAGAGGACCAGGGATCCTTGGAGGCAGGCAGGCGCCTCCCAGTGTCGCCAGGAGGGTACAGTGTGCCAGATGGAGGCCAGTCGCGGGGAGAATTCAGGTTTCTCAGCTCCTGGCCAGTGCCTGTGTGACCTGTGACAGGGCGAGTGCAGTTACGGGGCTTTACAACACAATGGTTTTTGTTCTTCAGATGGGAAGAGTGTCTTTTTCCCGTGACCAGAGAGACTTAGACTGAGTTGTTACAGTGTCCGTGGCACATCAGTCCCACTGAGCTCAACTCCGAGAATACTAACAAGTTTCATCTTTGTCCTCCTCCCCCGCGCACCTCCCGGGCCCTGGAGCAGCCTGCCCGGCCTCTCGCACTTGTTCCCAGGACCTGATGTCAGAGGCCATGGACCAGCCGGCTGGGAGTCCTGAGAACCCGAGGCCAGCAGAGGGTGGTGATGGCGGCATGGAGCCGGGTACCTGCCAGGAGCTCCTGCACCGACTGCGGGAGCTGGAGGTGGGCACGGGGCGTGGGGGCAGTAGGGCTGCCCTTTCCTCTGAGCTTGGTGGGGTGTTTGGGTGCGGCGGCCCTTCCTCTCAGCCCCCTTGGCCAGGCTGGAGCGGAGATGGACATTCTTAGGAGAGCTCCTCTGAGAAGCCCTCTCCCTGCCCTTAGCTCTCTAGGCTAGGTGCCGCTCAGGGACAGGAGGCGTGCCCAGGGGCAGGCTTGTCCTAACCCCTCAATGTCTCGCTCTTTACCCCACTTCTCCCCCACATTCATGCTCTGAGGAAAAGGGTGGTCACAGAGGAAAAAGGGTTTAGCTGTCCTGGCACTCAGGATTTGAGGGACAAGGACATGGATCCTTAAACTAAGGCCCTACATCACATTCTTAAGGTCCTGCCAGTCTCCTCTGCCCTCTCCCCAGGGAAATCAGGGTTACTCTTGGCACCTCCCACCTTAGGTCCTGGTCACTGACAGAGGTTGAGGTTACAGAAAACCAGACATCTGAGCTCTGCCTTCTAATGCCCTCAGCCCATCTCTATAGGCCTCCCCATGGCAGAATCCATCCAGAGCCAAGAGGTGGGCAGGGGGGTAGTTAGTAGACTCCTTGCCTCCCCTTCCCCAAAAGGAGTTTGCCCTGAGGGAAGAATGGTCCCATAGCCTCCTTTTTGCCCTCTTCCCGCGTCCTGTAGGCAGAGAACTCGGCACTTGCCCAGGCCAACGAAAACCAGCGGGAGACCTATGAGCGCTGTCTGGACGAGGTCTGTGGGGTCTGCAGTGGGACTGATGCTGGGGAGGGTTGGGGAGCATAGCTTGTCTCCTCCAGATCAAGGCTGTTGGCTGACATCTCTGCCTCGGGGCTTTCTGTCCCCAGGTTGCCAACCATGTGGTACAGGCACTACTGAACCAAAAGGTAAGTGGCCATGGGAGACATTCTCACCCCTCAGTCCAGCCTCCCTGGGAGAGGTCCTGGGTACCACAGGGGACCCCTGAGCCTTCTCAGCTAAGCCTTTAATGGGGGCTAGAGGAGGGAGCTTGGTGGAAATGTCCTATTGGCCCAGGGATGCCCCCATCCCTCCCCCACCCCTCACTTCCTCACTTCAGACAGGCCCGTACTGTTTTATCTGGAGGCAGGGGTGGCATAGGTGAGGCCACATCTCTGAGTTATGGTACCTTTGATTTGGGCTTGAATCCTTCTCTTATTCTGGCCCCAGATTGTAATGGACCTGAAAGCAGTGTTGATGTTGGGAGCATAAGGTGGCATCTAAATATTTACTGAAGTACTGTGGGTAACTTCTCGACACATGGTCCATCTGACCCCTAGATCTTCTTCTGCCTTGTATGGACCCTTCTTTAATGTGTGGTTTCTAGGAGGCGCTGGGCTGGCTCCAGGATTGGGGAAGGTACCAATGGGAATGGGATTTACCTCCCTCCGTGGGTGGTTAACTTTAGAGAATTTACCATCCCCTGAGGATTTGATAGCTGCAGCCTCCTTCACGGAGGAGGTTGCAGGAGAAGGACATGCCCGGGAGGAGTGCCCACTGCTCTGATGAAGGAACTGTGTGCTCACCCACCCTCCCTGGTATGGTCTTTTCCTCCACCTCCTCCCGGGCGGCGGCAGGACCTTCGGGAGGAGTGCATCAAGCTGAAGAAGAGAGTGTTTGACCTCGAACGACAGAACCAGATGCTGAGCTCCCTGTTTCAGCAGAAACTCCAGCTCACGACAGGCTCCCTCCCTCAGGTGGGCATAAGCCATTCTCCTTCCCGCATCACACCTCAGTTTCCTGCCTCCCCCAGCCCCATCATTACCACCACCCCCTCTTCCCCAAAACACCTACAGAAGCAGGCTGCCCAGACCTCCCTCCATTCTGGAGGCAGTCCATCCAGGGAAGGCCCGCCTGGCCGGATAGATGTGCGCCTTAGACGGGGTGAAAACCCCCTGAGTCCCCTCAATCCGGGCTGCCCCCCACCTTGCAGGTGCTTCCCTCCCAGGTGGATGGGATCCCTTCTTACTGACAGAGAGGTTCCTGCTTACTCTCCCCCTGTGTGGGGAGATGGGTGGAAGCTGAAATTGTAATTATTTCACGCTCCCAAGGGGCCCCTTTGGCCACTGCACTGCCTCTTCTTGGCCAGGGGCTGGGGTGGGACCGGGTGGAAGGCACCCAGCGCTTGGTGTCACAGAGAGGTCAGGAAAGGCACTTGGCCGGACAACTCTGTATTTGTGCACATTGCATACGGGGTGGGGCAAAAGTAGGTTTACAAAACACAGAGTTTATTCTTGTATTATTATTTATTATTGTATTATTTTTCCATACAAACAACTGTAAATCTACTTTTGTCCCATCCTGTATGCTCACCCACTGACTCGGACATGGCCATAGACCCTGGTTGGTCCCTGCTTCTAGCCCCGGCACCCGCCTTACCCGGGAGAAGCAGGAGCCCACTCGGAGTGAATCCTGTGCTCGTTTGGGGTCACGCTGTCTGAAAGCCCCAAGGATGGGGTGAGACACGGGGGTAGGAGGGTCAGGAGCAGCTCCGGGTTCTGAAGTCAGCCGGCGCACCCTCACCCCACCTCTGACCTTGACAAGAAGAGAAGTGCCTTCTGTGTGTGTGTTTGTCTGATACAAACCAGGCAGCTCTTGGCTCCCAGACCCTGGGCAGGATGCCCTCAGCTCCTGGGAGGCCTGACCCTGCCTGTCTAGAACCCCTGTCACCAGGCAGGTACAAAGCTGAGTGAATCAGCCGCAGGGACTGCAGCCCCCCTGCCCTGGTCTTGCCCAGCTACAGGGTTCACCCTGGAATTCCCAGAGGCCTAACCACACTGGCCGATTTCACCCCGTCCATTCCGTCTCAGTAACTAGTGATTAAAAGAGGTATAAATCATCCTTAAGTCATTTTTTTTTTTACTTAAATTAATTCTGGGATTTGAATTTGGGCTTTTTAGATGAATTTTGGGGTTTGGGGTCATAGAGTCATCTTCCCCAGAGGTAATTTATGACATAATGGAAAGAGCATGAACCTCAGATAAACTCCCTAACTTAGCTAATTCTTAGCTATGTGACCTTGGACAAAGATTATATAATCTTACAAACCAGTTTTTCCTTCTAGGTGGGGATAGGAGCACCTATATTGCAGGTTGTCATGAGGATTAAGTAAGATAATAAATAGTGCTTGGCCCAGAGTAGATGGTCAGTGTTCGGCAGCAGCTATTTATCATTATTCATGTTATTCCTAAATTGTGCTTTTCTAGGATGAAAGCCCCATTGAGATGCTAATTAAGCTCTTCTTGTGAGTAGTGCCTTTGCCAACACATATGGAACTGGACAGGGCTGTCGCCTGTGCAGAGCAAATGTAACCCCTGACGGCCAGGACTGCCGAAGCGAAGGCAGGTCTACAGGCAGCAGTCGTACAAAGCGGAGTGTGACAGCGCTGCCCAAGAGCCAGAGGCGGGGAGGCTGGGCATAGAGACAGGCTGGGGAGGGCTCCCTTAATGAGGTGGCATTGGATCTGGACCTTGATGGATGAGAGATTTAAAGAGAGTGCACTCCCTGTGGAAGGAACAGAGCAGGAAGCCTCGGAAGCGGCAAAGCGGCAAGCTGTTCCGCGGGGCTGGAACAGTGAGAGGCAGAGCTGGAGCCGGCGTCGGGAAGACCAGGCAGGCTGGGCTGGAATGCAGGCAGAGGAGTTCAGACTTGTCTTCAGTGAGCAGGCAGAGGAGGCTTTGAGCACAAAGATGCTTCAGGGGGAAAAAAAAAAAAAGAAAGAAAGAAAAAAATGCTTTAGGCTGCCTTGTACATCGGAGGTTGAGAAGCCACCCAAGTCAGAGAGACTGAAATGCTGAGCAGCATCCAGCAGGAGGTGTGAGGATCTGGGCTGAAGGGGCGGCTGCAGGTGGCCAGAGGGGAGGCAGAGACACTGCCAAGACAGGATCTGAAAGCTACAGAGAGTGAGAGACAGGGAGGACTTCAAGTTGACTGCTATCTAGTTGAAATGCCAAAGCGAAGGAAGTGACATCCTCAGGGACTGAGAGAGAAGTGACCCATGACTCGGTACTACTTCTGTAATCCTCAGAGTACAGGTTTCACATGAGACTAGTTAAGGGAGACAGAAGTGATAGCTGACACCACCATCTCTTTTCTGAAACCCAGTAATAAGTCCCCTTCCCTTAGTCTCAGCCTGTGATGCTGGGCTCAGAGGTAGTCAGAACAGGAGGGGCCTCGCTGCGCGCTCTCTCTGTAATCAGGGAGGAGGTCCTGAGGAAGAGCAGAGCGGCCCTGGACCTGCAGTGGCACCTGGGGTGGGCCTGCCACTGCCCTCGGGCCCAGGAGCCACGTCTCCCCTCCCCCAAAGCCCCTGGGCCGCCCCACCTTTCTGCCACCTGGGCATGCACTTCAGTCTGCCTGTGCCTTGGTCTCCCAAGGCTCCTTGACCAGGTGGTGGGGACAGTGGTGGACATACCTTGGGCCAGGAGATGTCCCTGAAGGGGCAACTCTTTCCTGCCCTGGGACGGGAAGGCCTAGTTCATGGGGAAGTAGGGACCTGGGACAGAGCACTTGTGCTAACTCTGCCTCTCCCTGCAGATCCCACTTACCCCACTCCAGCCTCCATCAGAGCCACCAGCCTCCCCCTCCCTGAGCTCCGCCGAGGGACTGGCCACCTCGCTGCCTCTGGGGCGCTGTGCTGGGCAGAGAGAGGTAGGCGGGCTGGGCACGGTGGTCAGTGGCTCCGCTGGCCATGGGCTTGTCCGTTGCCTCCATTGCTGATTTCTAATGAGTCCCAGGGGAGGCCGTGCCCCGCGCACAGGTTCTTGACCAGGCTGTGTCACCTCAGACCAAGAAAAATAGGTCCCATCCCAACCACTGGCCTTGCAAGCAAATGTGTTAGTTCTGCAGTAGGAGTCACGGCTCCCTGTGTGCCAGCCACTGCTGAGCACCTGGGTCTCCTCTGCCTTATGAGATTAAACATAGCTAGCATCCGTTTTACAGATGATACTATGAAGCTTGAAGATTCAGTAACTTGCCAGAGGCCATATAACTAGTTAGTAGTAGATCTGGTTCTTGAAGCTACACAGTCTGGCTCCAGAGCCCATGGAGTTAACCACTGTGTCAGACTGGACTGGGCACGAGAGGGGGCCGGGCAAAAGCCGGGATGGGCTTGCAGGAGAGTCATTCCCAGTCCTCTTCTCCGTGGAGATCAGGTCAGCAGGCCGCTGTCTGACCTGAAAGGGCCTGGGCTTGCTGCAGTGGCTTAGGAATTGGCTGCATCACATCCCCTTCTTGAGTCTGTGTTCTTTCTGAGCCTGAAAAACGAACAGGCCTCCCTCCCCGGGACAAGCATAGCGGTCAGTGTTGTCGGTGGGCAGCCCTGCCGACCCAAACAGCACTGGGAAGTGGTGGGAAAGCAGGGCTGGGGTAGCCAGGAAGGGAAACGGGGTCCCCACCCAACCCCAGTCACGCCAGCAACGAGTTGGACTAACCAGGGCTCAGTGATCCTTAGGGAGGATGAGCCATCGTATCCCAGGAGCTGTCCATTCCTTTTGGGGACAGAGACAAAACCAGGCCAGCTGTGTTCCTGCCATACACAGTTATGCGCAGCTCCGGCCCTGGGTCTGCACGTGGTCTCCTTATGCTGTTTCTCCCCCCAGGTGTGTTGGGAGCAGCAGCTGCGGCCAGGAGGCCCAGGACCCCCGGCTGCCCCACCCCCAGCGCTGGATGCCCTGTCCCCATTCCTTCGAAAGAAAGCCCAGATCCTGGAGGTGCTGAGAGCTCTGGAAGAGACTGACCCCTTGCTTCTCTGCTCACCTGCCACGCCCTGGCGGCCTCCAAGCGAGGGTCCTGGCTCCCCAGAGCCCATCAACGGCGAGCTGTGTGGCCCACCCCAGCCTGAGCCCTCCCCCTGGCCCCCCTACCTGCTACTCGGCCCTGGTAGCCTGGGAGGCCTGCTACACTGGGAGCGCCTCTTGGGGAGCCATGGGGAGGAAGAGGGTGCTGGGCGGCCCTGGGGCCCTAGTAGGGGCTCCCCGCAGGCCCAAGGTGCCATCTCTGGCCCACCCTGTGCCCCAGGCAGCAGCTCCTCCTCCTCTTCTGATGAGGCAGGTGATCCCAATGAGGCACCCAGCCCCGACACCCTGCTCGGGGCCCTGGCCCACAAACAGTTGGACCTGGGTCAGCTCCTTGAGGACACAGAGTCTTACCTACAGGCCTTCCTGGCCGGGGCCACCGGCCCACTCAGCGGGGACCACCCAGGCTCCAGGCAGCCATCCTCCCCAGACCAGGGCCCCCCACAGCTACCCAAGTCCAAAGGCTTCCCCAGGTCAGCTTGGGGTGGGGGTGCCCCAGGGGCTCACAGGCCAGTCTTTGGTGCTACCTCAGAGGGCCAGGAGCCCCTCCCCTTCCTCAGCATGTTCATTAGTGCGGGGGATGCCCCCCCAGGCTCTCGACCTGGCCACCCCCACTCCTCTTCTCAGGTGAAAAGCAAGCTCCAAATTGGCTCCCCTTCTCCTGGGGAAGCCCAGGGACCCCTTCTGCCCTCTCCAGCCAGAGGGCTCAAGTTTCTAAAGTTGCCTCCAGCCTCGGAGAAGGTCCCCAGCCCAGGAGGCCCCCAGCTCAGCCCTCAGCTCCCCCGGAACTCCCGAATCCCCTGCCGGAACAGCGGCTCCGATGGCAGCCCCTCCCCACTGCTGGCCCGAAAGGGCCTGGGTGGAGGAGAACTGTCCCCAGACGGGGCCCAGGGCCTGCCCACCAGCCCTTCACCCTGCTCCACAACCCCGGACTCTGCACAGCTCCGACCTCTCCAGCCAAGCCTTCTCCATCACGCTGTCCCCTTGGGTCGCCCTGCTACGAGA